AGATCGAAGGAGCATGGAATGTTAGCGGTAAGTGGAATTTAAATATTAGGTATAGGTACTCCTTATAGGTATTTAATAATACAATTGGACTGACTGACTTGACTAGACTGCCTCATTGGCCGAGTCGCAAATGAGACTGCCGGGCAAGGGGTCTCGGGTTCGATTCCCGGGTCGGGCAAAGTACTATTGGGTTTTTTTTAAATCTCAGTAGTAGCATAGAGTCTGGAGTTGTGCCCGATATATGCCAATAGGCTCACCCCCTATTACATGGAACCCATAACATAAATAGTGAAAAGTGGGTGTTACATTGTACAGTGGCATTGAGTGCCGTAATGTGCACCTCTGCCTACGGGGATAAAAGGCGTGATCTTATATCTTACGTTAATACAATTGGAGTTTACAATAAAATAACATGACGCCTTTGGCCTTTTGTAAATAGGTTGCAAAGTAGCAGTTTTACATGTAAACAAATCAAATGTAATATAGGTTAAGCCAATCGTTAAATGCAATAATGGACTGAATTCCAAACTCTGCTATAGGTTTATTGATAACTTTTTCGAAAATAATTATTACATAACATCACGCCTTTTATCCCCGAAGGGGTAGGCATTACAGCACTTAATGCTATTGTAAAATGTAACACCCACTTTTCGCTATTTATGTTATGAGTCCCATGTAATAGGGGGTGAGCACAGAAATATTTAAAATTCTTCTTTAATATATCTTTGGGGGTGAGTGACTCCATGTTACTACAGATATTTTTTGAAAAAGCCCTGTAATACTTTGCCCGACTCGGGAATCGAACACGAGACCCCTTGTCCGATAGTCGCAATTGCGACCACTCGGCCAACGAGACAGTCTATATAAATAGTTATAAAGTACCCTTAATTGCTTAACCTGGGAAGTGGGAATCCAATCCGAGTTGTTTTGTCCCTATGACATCTGCTTTATCAACTTCTGATGTACCAACATAAACTTTTCACAGTAGACCTTCTTGATTTTTTTTTGTTCTCAGACAAAGGAGAGTGCAAATGGGACCGCCTGACTCATAGATACCCTGATCTGTTCCACGATGGTGCTAATGGTGACACAGCCTGCTTATCCTATTACTATTGGCAGAAGGACATAGATATCATTGCGGAGACTGGATTAGATTTTTACAGGTAGAATCCTACTAACATCTTATACTCTTATACTATTACTAGCTTTTACGCGCGGCTTCGCTCGCGTCACAAAAGAATAAAAGTAGCCTATGTGACATATATACCAATAGTTTTGTTTTTCCTCGGGAATATCATTTTTTTCCGGGTTAAAAAGTACCCAATTATTTAATCCAGACTTCTAACTTTACGTCTGCAAAAATTCAAAGCAATCGGTTGAGTAGTTACGGCGTGAAGGTGGAACAAACAAACAAACAAACTCACTTTCAGATTTATAATATTATATATATAATATGTATAATATATATATAGTATAAGGATATAAAGCGCAAGAGTTTGTTTTTTGTTTGATCGCGCTAATCTCCGTAACTACGAGTCTGATTTGAATAATTCTTTTTGTGTTGGATAGTGCATTTATCGAGGATGGCTATAGGGTATAAAACATCACGCTACGACCAAAAGGAGCTGAGCAGAGCGTGTGAAACCGCGCGGAAGTAGCTAGTTATACTATAAATCCAAAACCTTGTATGTTTGTTTGTAACTCCTTCGCGCAGAAACTGCTAAAGAGATCGGGATGAAATTTGGATCAAGAGCAGGGATGTTAGGGAGCTCCGTAACTGTAACGGAAAATATCGGATATCCGATATAAAAAAAAATTGGTTGCCTGTAAAGTCGGTATACGGGCGAAAGTTTTACGTGACAACGATGTCTGTCTCTCTCGCTCTTAGGCGGGCTAACCATGCCCGAGTGGAAGGGACGCGTGCCTCTCACTCGCTCTCATTGTGAGCGCATAACCTGAGCGGAGCGTAACGCAGTTTCTTGAAGTGTCACCCTGCAAACCAATTTATAAGAAGTTGTCACGTCAAAATATCCGTACCCGTAACTGAATCCGAAGTTTATAAAAATTATAGAAATATAAAAGTTTCGGATACTATCGGATAGGAGCGTGACGTATAAATGAAACCATTAATTAGCTATTTGTATTTTACTTTTGAAATTCCTTTAAATTTTAATATTACGGATATTAATTATTAATTGTTAAAACCGATATTATCTAAAACTAACGGATAATCTGAAATAATTTCTTATCCTTATCCGGTATAATAATCATTTCTATATCCGTATCCAATCCGTATCAGATATTTTATATCGTTACTTCCTATCAAATAAACACAACACCGTAATAGTATCGATGTCGTCTGGGCAATATGAGGTACCAAGAGTTTAAAATGTTTATGGTGATCGATCAATGAAAAAGCGTATACCGTACCTACTTACTCAACCATTTGCCAAACGAAGTCCGGGAAGAGAAAAATAAAAATAAAATTAAGACTAAATTAAAAAATATCTGCTTAGCACACTACCATAATTATATGTATTAAAAATTAATTTTAACTATTATACTTATAAATAGTAATTTAAAACGAATAGTAGATCCAACAGTCAAACTATTTATATAGTTTTGTTGGACATGGCGTTAGATTAAGTACGAGAGATGACGACCAAAACCATGACTCATAGCAATAGGGCAAAAACCCTATAAAATCGTTAGATTGTATGATTTTGAACCCGACTAGGTGTGTAGTAACGGTCGAAAGTGTAGCAACTGCGTGGGAGGCCATTTCTGCTGTGTCAAAAAATATCTGAGTATCGAAAAGTTGTCTGATAGAGAAGGTGCTATACTTATTTTGTCTGATATACATTTTTTGCATATGTGGACAACTTATTTTATCATGTCCAACAATTTTCAGACATATTGCCATGATACCGATCGGTAAAATTTGTTAACATTTTCAAAACGGTCTCAATATTTAATGCGTTCACATTTCCGTCTGAAAATTGTTTTGTTCGCATCAGAAAAGGTCAGATCAAATGCTACGCGGAAAATGTCTGATATTGGTATTTTCGAGTTCAGGATAATCGTATCTATTGATTTGAGGCGGTTTTGGCCGTATTGCTATGAGACAAAAATTTTGATCGTCATCTCTCTAACTAATTGCTTTTATGTTTCATCGTGTGAGTGGAGTTACCGGAGGCCCAATTACATCCCTCCCCAATCTCCTCAATCCATGAATCCCAACAATCCTTAAATTCCTAATCCCCAAGCCGCTAACGCTGAGTAACGCACTGGTAACGCCTCTGGTTTTTCGAGTGTCCATGGGCAGCGCCAATTGCTTAGCATCAGGTGATCCATCTGCTCGTTTACCGGCTTATTCCATAATGATAATCTTTTTTGTAACTTTCCCAGATTCTCCATATCCTGGCCTCGTATCTTGCCGTCGGGTCTTGCGACTAAAATCAGCGAGGATGGTGTCAACTACTACAATAACCTGATCGATGGTCTCCTGGCGAAAGGGATAGAACCTATCATCACTTTATACCATTGGGAAATGCCACAAATGTTCCAGGACTTAGGTACGATTCAAATAGATTTGCCAATAAACAACTATGTAGTTAGTCTTCAGCCGTTCAAGGCTGTAAGTATGGACTAGGGATAAAGATAAAGATAGATAATCTTATACTATTATATAAAGCGGAAGAGTTTGTTTTTTTGTTTGATCGTTTGTTTGAACGCGCTAATCTCCGTAACTACAAGTCTGATTTGAATAATTCTTTTTGTGTTGGATAGCGCATTTATCGAGGATGGCTATAGGCTATAAAACATCACGCTACGACCAATAGGAGCAGAGCAGAGCGTGTGAAACCGCGCGGAAGTAGCTAGTAATAAATAATATTGAGACAGGAAATAAAATATTAATTCCAAAATAACAGGAGGATGGGCCAACCCAAGAATCTCAGACTGGTTCGCTGATTACGCGAGGGTAGTCTTCCGTCTCTTCGGAGACCGTGTCAAGACCTGGCTGACCATCAATGAACCTGTCATGGAATGCGACTGGTTCTACGGTCAGGGTATCCTGAACCCTCAGATAGATTACTTCGTAGGACCCTATCTCTGTAACAAGAACATCTTACTGGCCCACGCGAAGGCTTACAGGGTCTATGATCAGGAGTTCCGAGCACTGTATGGTAATGTTGGTAAGTAGATCATTCTATTTTGTAAACTAGTCGAAAGAATATCCAATATATATATATAAAGAAAGAAAGAACATAACATAACATCACGCCTTTCTCCCCGAAGGGGTAGGCAGAGGTGCACATTATAGCACTTAATGCCACTGTAGCATGTGACACCCACTTTTCACTATTTATGTTATGAGTCCCATGTAATAGGGGGTGAGCCTATTGCCATATACCGGGCACAATTCCAGACTCCGTGCTACCACTGAGAATTTTTTAAAGACCCAGTAATACTTTGCACAACCCGGGAATCGAGTCTGAGACCCCTTGCCCGGCAGTCGCACTTGCGACCATTCGGCTAACGAGGCAGTCAGTAAGAAAGAAAGAAAGACAAACCGCCCATGGTGCAGCGCAGCGCAAAATACTGGAGCTCAGAAATATCAAATAATTGCAATAGAGAAGTTCTTGTTAATACCGGTTTTAATAATAAAGTCTAAGTCAAAATCATTTAGATATTTCAATTCGACCAGGAAAGGCGCTTTTGAACGTCAACAAAAATTAAAAGTGAAGCTATTTGCTCATTCCAAGATGTAGATTCCTATGAAGAAGAACGAGCAAGAAACTCCATTCTATTTCAACCACATTCACAATACAATTCTCTAGTTACATAAAAGGCGTGATATTATGTTATGTTACTATATTTCTCTAAAGATAAACAAATTCTATCGATTCTCATATGGTCCAGTAGGAATAAGTGAAGTCACCTATTAATGTATTTTTTTTACAGGAAAACTGTCAATTGCAAATCATTTACTGTGGGTGATGCCATTGACTGAGGATCTTGAAGACTTAGCAGAAATAGCTCGAGAGTACTTTGTACGTATCATCACGTCACACCTCTGTAATCTCCGAAGGAGTTGGCAGAGGTGTATATTTGCAATATCATCAACAGCCTATAAATGCCCTTGCCCACTGTTGAGCAAAGCCTCTTCTCACATGGAGAAGGTTTTGAGCATTAATCACCACGCTTGCTCATTGCGGGTTGGCGATTTCAAACTTATAATTTTCTAATTATTTTATTATTAAAAATGGAATAGAATATAATTAGAAATTATAAGTCCAGGTTTCCTCACGATGTTTTCCTTCACCGTTTGTCAGTGGTGTCTAAATAATCTTAGAAAGTACATATAACTCGGAAAAAGTCACATTGGTACTTGCCGTTGGTAGGTTTCGAACCCGCGCCCTTATACCTGAGAAGCGGGCGTCTTACCTCCGGGCCACCACGACCGCCACACACAATATTAAGTAAATATATTGCAAATATACTTACTTAATATTTACTGTCTATGTAATAGGTGAGACATGATCTATTATGTGGTCAATTCGTTTTCTTCCTCATTTGTAGCTAAAGAGAGCTACAGAAACCCATTAGGTACTTAGGTAAAGTCCAATAATCAGTCCAAAGAAACCTATGTGGTCAAATATGTATTAATTCATTTAAAAAAAACGGGGTAACGTTTTTTTTAGGATACTCGATATACTAGCAATTTCTCATGTGTCGTGGGTGCGTTTGCAAACATACAAATCCACATAAATGTGAAACCCAGACCCGGAACAATAACATAACATCACGCCTTTTATCCCTAAAAGGGGTAGGCACTTTTCACTATTTATGTTATCAGTCCCATGTAATAGGGGGTGACCCTATTGCCATATACCGGGCACAATTGCAGACTTCGTGCTACTACTGAGATTTTTTTTTAAAACCTAGTAATACTTTGCCCGACCCGGAAATCGAAGCCGAACCCCTTGCCCGGCAGTCGCACTTGCGACCACTCGGCCAACGAGGCAGTCGGAACAATAATTTGTGGATCACACAAAGAATTGCTCCGTGCGGAAATCGAAACCCCGACACGTTGCGCGGCAGCCGGTTGCCCAGCCACCGCACTAACCTGTCAAGAATAATCATAATAACTAGATGTTTTCTTTAGACCGGTCGCTACACTCATGCCATATTCTCCAAAGAGGGAGGATGGCCCAAAGTGATCGAGGAACAGGTCGCGAAGGTCAGCAAAGAACAAGGGTTCAATGAATCCCGGCTGCCACCTTTTACTGAAGAAGAAGTCAACTTAATCAGAGGTAATTTAGTAGTTTTTTTTAATTTATTTATTCAGCTAAAGATACATGCATGTTACTTAATTCTAAACATTGCCAAACTGTTCAACAGTTTGTTGGCAAAAAAACGCTTATAATTTTCATCTTTATACACGTATACAATTTACTATTAGTAGGTTTTTTTTACGGCAGGCACACATCACTATAATACAGTACATCACTATAATACATACAGTACATGGAATATCATTTTACAACAATGCTTCCCTTAGTCTTTTTTTTATTGTTAACTTACTACATTCTTTATGTCTTAGTCGTATACAATCCAATTTATTATATACTAGCGGCCCGTCCCGGCTTCGCACGGGGGGACTTAAGATTTTTACCTAGTTTTACGTTTTATTTATATTTATTCTCAGTTTTTTTTAGCGACCTGCCCTCCGTTGTCGATGTCGCGTCTTAAGGTAACCGATTGAACAATTCAAAAGTTATCTAGAGCAAACTTTTATAAGGATTGAACCATTCATTAAAACGATTGTTATGGGTAAACTATAAAAGGTAGACATATGCTCTCGCGGACTTTTTTAAAAATAATGTTAAGATAAACAATTCATCTATAGAACATTTTTGTATAACTTTAACTATATGCTCAGCGCACGCCACGGAACGCCTCAGAAACGATACTTTTCCCCCGTTTTTAAAACATTTTTGGTTACTGCTCCACAACTATAGGACCAAGCGTGATATTATATAGCCTATGTTACTTCTGAATAATGCAGCTTTCGAATGGTGAAAAAATTATTGCAATCGGTTCAGTAGTTTTTGAGTTTATTCTTTACAAACATACAAAAATACAAAAATACAAATCTTTCCTCTTTATAATATTAGTATAGATTAATGGAGTTAAGTACTTTCTTGTTCTCTTACCATAATAATTTTTTACCCTTGGTATCACATATTTTCCTTCCTCACTATATGTTTAGTACTATATTTATGCCTAAAAGATCCCTTGAATTTATTTGTCAGGCTATTCCTAAGTTCTGTGAATGCCTTCTAGTAAAATTCATTCAGGTCCCGGTGCTATAAGATCTCTTACAACGTCAGTGCGAATTGCTCTTTGCAAAATGTTTTCCAGGAGTAAAACAAACTTAACATCACGCCGTTTAGGCCGAGCCTTCAGGATTAACGGGATAAATGGCGTTGGATAAAAATGCACGTTATGGCACTTAATGCCACAATGTAACACCCACTTTTCACTATGTATTTATGTTATGAGTCCCTAGTAATAGGGGGTGAGCCTATTGTCATATACCGGGCATAATTCCAGACTTCGTGCTACTACTGAGAATTATTAAAAAAACAATAATGCTTTGCCCTACCCGCGAATCCAACCCGAGATCCTCTGTCCGACAGTCGCACTTGCGACCACTCGGCCAACGAGGCAGTTTTCCAAGAGTCAAACCTTTTTTTAATGTAGTTTATATAGATCAATGCAAACAAAAACCTGGCAAATCCATCTTCTCCATAATAGAGATAGAAAATTAACTGAAATTTGTTTATTTAATAAACATTTCAGACTGATAGTGGATATGGTCTCAGTTTAACAGCAGAAAATAACTAAATCCTCACGGAGAACCTAACGGGTAACCGGGGCTCCGGCTCGAAGTGCAGGAGAAGGAACGGGGTGGGTTTTAGTCAGTAAGAGTCTGACACTCCCTCCCGCCTCACCCAGGCGGGAGCAGTCATTCGATGATTTTCCCCCCTTAAAAAAAATCCTTCATCAACAGCCTATAAATGCCCACTGCTGAGCAAAGCCTCTTCCCACACGGAAGGTTTAAGCATTAATCACCACGCTTGCTCAATGCGGGTTGGTGATTACAAACTTATAATTAGAAATTATAAGCCCAGGTTTCCTCACGATGTTTTCCTTCACCGTTTGTCAGTCAAAAAAATCCTTATGTTCAAAATACTTTACAGGGTCCTACGATTTCTTCGGCATGAACCACTATACTTCAAAACTGGTGCGGTACACAAAACCAGGGGAGAAAACCACCTCAGCGCTTTTCACATCTATTTACGAATTCAATGCTACACTCGTCACTGACCCGACTTGGAAGCGTGGACAGACCGATTACATGGTGGTGAGCAGGCCTTCTTAATTTATCTTATACTATTACTAGCTTCTGCCCGCGACTTCGTACGCGTAATCCCATTTTTTCCCGTCCCCGTTCATGATTTTCGGTAAAAAGTAAAAAAAAGTATTGGTTTAAAAGTATCCTATGTCGGTCTCCTGGCTCTAAGCTACCTCCCTACCAATTTTCAGCCAAATCTATTCTGCCGTTCTTGAGTTATAAGTGGTGTAACTAACACGACTTTCTTTTATATATAAAATAGATGTATTCGTTCTTTTCAGACGTATCCTCAAGGTATAAGAGCCCAAATGGAATGGGTGAGGAAGCAATATGGAGACATTGAGATCCTGATCACAGAGAACGGGTACGCCACGGGAGAACCCATCATAGATGATGACGAAAGGGTAGATTATGTCAAATCATACTTGAATGAGGTAATTCAGTTTTGAATGGTTTTATTTGTCCCTAAAGGATTGGTAGCTGGTTCAGCAGATTTCGTAAAAATTGAGCCTTTGTTAAAATAAAAAATTCATCCATTCGTTTTTATAATAACTATCGTGAGACATACTAAATTACTAAAAATCGCGGGTTACTCACGTGAATATACTGAGAAAAGCTCTACTAACCCCTCTGTGGTTCGAAACTAGTAGAGCTTTTCTCAATATATTCACGTGAGTAACCCGCGATTTTTAGTTAATTATTTCATTTCCCTGTTATTTAAGTACGACTGCTTCGATAGTTGAATAATAATAAGTGTGAATGAATATCAACCGAGAAGTATCAGGTTTCATTCTCAGGTCCAACACAATATTTAGCCGTTTCTTTGGTTTTTATAAAATCACTAGACACAGTGCAGGAGAAGGAGCGGGGTGGTTTTTAGTCAGTAAGAGTCTGACACTCCCTCCCGCCTCACCCAGGCTGGAGAACTAATTGGATGATTTTCCCCTCAAAAAAAGGCTCACAACTATTATATTCTGTCCTCTTTGTATTCTTTTCTATATGACCATTTTTTCCAGGTCCTTTTGGCTATCCAAGAAGGTATCAAAGTTATTGGATACTCCTACTGGTCTCTGATGGATAATTTCGAGTGGGGCAGTGGATACTCGTAAGTATTATTTGTTTGTTCCTAATTATGGTGGTGTAATGTTATTATAATAACTATCGTGAGACATACTAAATTAACTAAAAGTCGCGGGTTACTCACGTGAATATACTGAGAAAAGCTCTACTAGTTTCGAACCACAGAGGGGTTCTTCCTCATGAGCAGAGTGCGCGGTCGCGGCGATGTCAAAAGTAGGCTGCGCGATAAATATTAACAGTGATCGGAAAAAGGGTGAGCTAATTTACCTAAACTTCAAGGTACAAAAACAAAAAGTGGAGACTTCCTTACTACAACATTTTTTTCGGGAAAGTTCCGGTTCCAGTTTCGGGATATTTATATATTACATCTAATATCATTGTTATTAATACAGAAAACAATTGATTTCGTTTCGTGATTTTATTTCTTAAATTTAACACAAAACCAAACAAAATTAAAACTTTTATTGTTTTCAACAATAAATATTTTAAAATGTAAGAAAGAGCATAAAATAAAATTATTCAACACCAAAATTATGTTATTAATAACAAAAGCTAGAAAGAAACCGCAACTTTTGTCACGATTTTAGGTTTTTGTAAATTTTGGTGTTGAAGGAAGTCTCCACTTTTTGTTCCTTGAAGTTTAGGTAAATTAGTTCACCTTTTTCCGATCACTGAATATTAATCACGTATTTTTAATTTTCTTACAAAGTATTTAATTTTTTAAGAAAATAAATAATACGTGTTTAATGTTTTAAAATAATCTAACAGACGGACATTAAAATAAAATTTAGGATACTACCCTATTGTACTAGATGATCGTAACTGGTTATTTTATTTTTTTATTTATTTACAGGTCAAAGTTCGGTATTTACCAAGTGGACTTCGAGGACCCCGAGCGCACGCGCACTGCGCGTAAATCTGCGCGCTACATCGCGGACATCATCAAAAATAGAGTCCTGTAACATTGTAATAGTGATTTAATAAATAAAACTGTAGGATTACTAAATATATTATGTGTTTTATTGTTAATGGGTGATTCTTCAAAAAATTGCTTTTTAAAGAAATACCCCTCATCACCACCACCCGGAGATTGGGGAAGGGAAGCGTAATTGAGCCTCCGGTAACCTCACTCACACGACGAAACACAACGCAAGCGTTGCTTTACGTCGGTTTTCTGTGAGGCCGTGGTATCACTCCGGTCGAGCCGGCCCATTCGTACCGAAGCATTGCTCTCCTACATTTGCCGACTAAAGATGAGAATGGCACCACTGGGGACACATCTCAGTGAATCCACTTCCACTGATGTAAATCTGACATCAAATTAGATTATTGTTTCTGTAGAAACAGATAGCTGAGTCGCAGTATAGAAAAAAAATGTTGTTCGGTGAGCTATTCTCCCCAAAAACAGCAAGTTGGAAATTCAGAACTCTGACCAACATAATGAATGAGCAAACAGTGACAAGCAGGAGCAGGAAAAAAATCACAATATAAAACATTCACGTTCATTTTGTTCAATCTGTGCATTAAACTTTTTTTTTTATTTATTTATTTGAACTCCCATCAAAAGATACACTTACATGCTAAAAAATAATTACACTTACATGCTAAAAAATAATCCATCTGACGTTACAATAACCTTGTGATTCTTCAATTAAAGGGAATCACATCATGCCCATACAAACATAGTTACAGCAATTGAATGAACTTAATTCATATTAAATTAAATTACAGAAATGCCAAGAAAACATAAAAGAAATACAGTATCAAAAATCCAAATCATGACGTAGAAAGAAAGTCATAGAAACAAAGACTGCACGTCGAGCCGGAGCCCCGGTAACCCGTTAGGTTCTCCGCGACTGCGAGGATATACATGCTTACGTCATTATTATACGACCAGTGTCAGTTCTGCGTGGGGTTTATTATCTACTTATCGACTTTCCTGAAACTTGTCACATAATTTTTCCTTAAAACGTTATTTAATTTTAAACCTTGTTCTACATATCAATAAGATGCACATAAATATTCATATCGATGCAGTCATTCGTGAGTCATGCGCGTGATTGGTTTTATTTATTTACAAAAGGGCCACAATAAATTTTGGTAAAGATTTCCTAGTATGACCAAACTTAGGGTACCTAGTTAATATGTATACATGCAACATAATATAGGCATTTTTTTATATGAGATTTTTTTCAAGGAAGATCATCGACTCACTGCTCCCGCCTGGGTGAGGCGGGAGGGAGTGTCAGACTCTTACTGACTAAAAATCACCCCGTTCCTTCTTCTGCACGTCGAGCCGGAGCCCCGGTTACCCGTTAGGTTCTCCGCGACTTTTATAGGGGATAAGGCGGTAAACGAGCATATGGATCACCTGATGGTAAGCAATCGGCGTCGCCCATGGACACCCAGAATACCAAGTGCGTTATGTACCGCCTTTTAGAGATAACGAATTTGAGGATTTTTGCGGATTCCAGGGTTTGGGGCGGGAGGAGGGCCCCCGGTAACCTCATTCATACGATGAAACATAACGCAAGCGTTGTTTCACGTCGGTTTACTGAGAGGCCGTGGTATCACACCAGCAGGAATACAGTCACATACAGGAATAAAGTATGTAACATAATGGTTGATATCTCGCGTAAACTTGCAAGAGTTGCAGGTTGGCGAGGCATCGTTTTTACATAATATAACATCACGCCTTTTATCCCCGAAGGGGTAAGCAGAGGTGCACATTATGCCACTGTACAATGTAACACCCACTTTCACTATTTATGTTACGAGTCCCGTGCTAGTACTGAGATTTTTTTTACTATTGAGTTCCAACCTCACACAGGCGGGAGCAGTCAATCGATGATTTTCCCCACTTAAAAAAAATGTGATATAGTACCTACATATAAACCTATATAGCATTATCATTTATTATGTTGTGATAGACGCTTCATATAAAGATAGTAGCTTGGCGTCCTTAAAGCAGTCCCATCATGATTTGGACGGTGATAGTCGTGCTCAGGTGAGGGAACAATTTAATAATCTTATTCTTAGTAGAGTTTGTTTTTTTGTTTCTTTGTTTGAACGCGCTAATCTTCGTAACTAGAGGTACAAGTCTGATTTAAATAATTCTTTTTGTGTTGGATAGCGCATTTATCGAGGATGGCTATAGGGTATAAAACATCACGCTACGACCAATAGGAGCTGAGCAGAGCGTGTGAAACCGATCGGAAGTAGCTAGTAAAATAAATAATAGATTATAAGTTTTGTGTGTCAAGTGAACACACTTCGTCATGAGGAATGTAGTGAGTGTTTTAAGTCAGTGATTTTGAGTTGTTTAAATTTTTTAAACATACCTACTACTAGACTGCCTCGTTGGCCGAGTAGTCGTAAGTGCGAATGCCGCGGGCAAGGGGTCTCAGGCTCTAGTTCTGACTCGGGCAATGTATTACTGGGTTTTTAAAACAATCTCAGTAGTAGCACAGAGTCTGGAGTTGTGCCCGATATGGCATTGCATATGCATATTACATGGGACTCATAACATAAATAGTGAAAAGTGGGTGTTATATTGTACAGTGGCATTAAGTACCGTAATGTGCACCTCTGCCTACCTCTTCGGGGATAAAAGACGTGATGTCAGTTTATGTTATGTGCCTACAGCTTGACAAAAAGTGTTTGTAATAATTGAGGTCGCTAGTATCGTTCCTGTGGCTATGTTGATATTTCTTATTTTTATCGAGTTTTAAAAAAACAGGTAGGTAAGTAATGTTCAGGTTATTATTTATTCATTCATGGGATCTGGTCCGAAGTGGGTGATTTAGTGTACGTGAATAGGTTCCAGCCGTCACCGCGTCAAACTCTTTTTTGTGCATTCTTTTTCTCTTCGTATTATGTTATAAAGATTTGTCTAAACTAGAACATAATCCTTACTATAATAATATTATAAATCTGAAAGTGATTTTGTTTGTTCCACCTTCACGCCGTAACTACTCAACCGATTGCTTTGAATTTTTGCAGACGTAAAGTTAGAAGTCCGGATTAAATAATAGAGTACTTTTTAACCCGGAAAACATTGATGTTCCAGAGGAAAAAAAACGTATTGGTATAGATGGCGCTGTGTGTATTGGTATATGTCACATAGACTACTTTTTATTCTTTTGTGACGCAAGCGAAGCCGCGGGTAAAAGCTAGTTATATTTAATTTTAGAATTTTTAGTTCTTACTGTTATAGGTTTGCTTTAAACAAGACAATTGATAAGTACATCGCCTGAAATATCATGCGCGTCCGTCAATCCGTAAAGGAGAATGGCAGGTTTGTATGGAAGTTTTGTACCGCTATAAAATTTTGTATTAGTCATTGTTTTAACCAAGTGAATAGTCTGAACGATAGATATTTTTATTATGAAGTTTAGAAAAAAATTACATATTTTTAGAACTTGGGGTTCAAAAGTTATTTCACTTTGAAAATGTGCAAAAGGTATGTTAAGGTGGTACCACACTTGACATTGCGTAGTCGCTTCATTTGTCCAAATATTTGTAGACTTCGTACAAATGGCGTCCAAATAGTATCTCTATATGTAATGGCGTGCAAATATATAGCAAACAAAGAAGAATAAATCCTCCAAACATGTTCTTTTTTGGCCGAACACAACAAATACGCAACGTCAAGTGTAGAGCCACCGTAAGCAAAATATCTATTACAAATGACAGATGACAGTTAACTGAAAAATGTCAATGTGCTCTCATGTGGTTGTTTATTTACAAAAAAACAAAAATCTAAAAATACTGCTCGCTACTCAAGTGACTATTACACTTTGTATTATTAGAAAGAAAGAAAAACCATTTATTTTGCTACGACACACAACAAGAATTTAGAAACCCAAAAAATAACCTATGGTGCGTCGCAGCGCAAAAGGCAATTAGGAATGATCCTGTTAATTCAGCAAGCATGATGCACCTATAGAGTTTTAAAGAGTATGCCTCACAATCTTTTTCATTTCTTAGGTGCCTACGAAAATGCAAATTCATAATGTAAGCGACTGTCATTGGGTAGAAGGCCTACATTTAGCAGTGGAAGTCTTGTGGCGGATATGATAAAACTAATGTCTCACTTCACCTTGAATCTTGTAGATAGTCTCAAGGGTCTCAAGTTAATTCGATTTAAACTTAGCTTAGCTCTTTGAGAAAGTATTTCTTCTGAAAACTGGTTGCTTAGCACGCATGTAAGGATTAATTTCTAATAAGTAAGTCAAATTAGTAGAATCATCAACATTTTCATCATTAAGTCTATAAGTGGCCACTGCTGACCGAAGCCTCTTCTCGCATGGAGGTTTGAGCATTAATCACCATACTAGCTCAATGTGGGTTGGTAATTCAAACTTATAATAAGAAATTATAAGCCCATGTTTCCTCACAATGTTTTCCTTCACCATTCGTCAGCGGTGTCTTTGTACTTTCTTAGATTATTGAATATACCAATAACTCGGAAAAAAGACACATTGGACAAAAGGTACTTTGCCGTTGGTAGGTTTCGAACCCGCACTCTCATGCATGAGAAGCGGGCTTCTTAAACCTCTGGGCCACCACATTACAACTAAAGAAAATGTAAAATGAAAATGAACATTTTTGGTATAAAACTAAAGCTATCTAAATTAAATATGGCATTTATTTTATAGATTGATTCTTAAAATCACTTTTATCAAGATGGAATATATAGTTACTTACTAGGTTAAAATAAAACAAATGTATTATTTTGAAATACTTTTATTTCATTGTATTCAGGTTGTTTCTAGGAGTACTTCATCTAAAAAGAGAACAGGCCGTGTCATAGGTACAGCAGACATCAATTGCTGATATCTGTAAACAAGTAAGATAACTGTAAATAAAGTAAACAAAAGTACATTTTTTTCCTTTAGTTTTATATGTTATAATAATAAGTCTGATTCCCTATCTTAAAATGGAAAAGATAAAAATAAAT